ATTATGAAGAACTTATTCAAAAGAAAAGACAAATTATGATGAGGGAAAGGGTAAAAGAAGAGAGGGAAAAAGAAAAACAATATATGTACACACACAAGAGAGTTAAAATAGCTATACAACCAGTTTCTCTTAGTTCTTGAAAAGGAAGTTCTGTGCTAATATTGTTTGGACAATATATCAGGTCTATGTCTTGTACTCTGAATAACCACTCCAAAGACTGCAATATCCAATGTATCCACTATTGTTAGTGTTGTACCATCCCTTTTAATGCTGAGTTTCATTGTTATGTCTATCCTTTTTTTATCTTTAAAACAATAGTATGTCAGCTGCCAATATAATGTTAGTAATAACAAAAAATATTTATTATAAGATAATGCTTAAACAAAACAAATTACAATGTTGTCACTGCACAGATTATATGAGAATATAAAAATATTTATCCATCAATCACTTGTATTTTAGAAAAACTCATGGTGTTTTGTCTAAATATTCTTTCAATCACTGCTTTCAGAGGCTCAAACAATTTCCAGGAATTTAAGGAATTTGAAACCTACCTCAAAAAACAAGGAGTCTTATCTTGCCCTGGAGGACAGACATAAAAATATATAAAAGTAATAAAAGAATGAAATATTCAGTTAATAGGTTGATATTGCCCCAGGATCCACAAAGAATTAAAAATGTTTCTTGCTCAATCCCTCATTTTAGTAATAAATACTATAATGCTGCAATGCCCGGGACTTTTTATTTCATTTAATCACTAATATCTTTCTCTGATATGGGCACAGCGAAGCCTGGGCCTGACCAGAGGCCAAGTGCTTCTTCAGGGTGTTCTCTGTCTCCTCACCTCCAGAGAATACCGACTCTGGAGGTACCAGAGTTGGTATTCTGTTACCAGAATACGGTGATTTTCTCACACTGTGTGTGTTTTTAGAATGAATAACTTATTAACAAACATAAAAGATTTTTACTCCCTTACCTTTTAATAGGCTATATTTTTATTATTAGCTCCATGTTTTGATTAAGGCTTATTTTCTATTTAGGATCATTAAGCTAGTTGTGACATTTGAGATACATTGCTGAGTGACAAATTCACCTGTTTGTTCTTTTTGCTCACATATGCACAAAGTTGAATCATAACATCGTTAAAGCCTTTCTAGAAACTATAAAAGTTACTTGCAAAGGAAGGAACTGTTTTCAAGTCTCCCAGATCAATAGTTTTATGTATAGAACACACAGGTTTGACAAGCATGTATGCCATTGCTAATAATTCAAAGATTTTAAACACATCATTTCCAAAGGAAATCTACAGAATAATTTAAGAAAGTGAGCTGGAAAACCAAGCAACTCACTTGTCTCCCTGGTGAGCAGCCATGGCTTGGGCAGCGGTGGCCACCCCAAGGAGAGAACCAGCCAGCATCCTGAGATCCACTCCATGTTGGAACTGAGGCCACTGGGAAACCAAGCAACCCACTTTCCTCCCTGGTAAGCAGGTGTGACATACTGGCATGCCGGCTGAAAATCAAACATTCCATCCCTCCCATTAGCAAATGGGAGCCAGAGGTCTGAGCATCTCTTGGGAGGATGACCATATGCAATATAGCAAATAGGGGGGATTGCCATCTCTTTGAAGGCAAATATTGTTATCACTGTTTTGTTTTGTTCTGATTAATTGTACTGCTCAATTCAATATTCTGTTTTGATAAGTTCTATAATATCATGTATTTGGTTTGATTTTGCTATACCTGATTGAAGAAACAACTATTGTGAAGATAATGAGATATACTATGGTATCTATTACTGTTATCCTGGTAACCTGTTGTGGCATTCTGTACCAATTCACTGCACTGTCACAATTGACTTTGTTCTGTCTTGTGTTGCATTTCACTACCTTCAAAATAATAAAAAAAAATAAAAGGAAGCAAGTATCACTGAAACTAGTTTTGTAAAAACTAATAATAACAATGGAAATACTATTGGTGATAATTTGAATAGTGTCTTCAAATTTCTAATATATGTGTGTTTACATGTACATGGATATAAAGATACAATAAAATTTTATATACCAATAATAACATTTATTTTAGAGTATTTATTATAAGAAACTATCCATCTGCTTATAGAGTCTAATGAATCCAACATTTTATAGTTGCACTGATAGGCCTGAGATGTAGTACACAGAAAGATTCTTTTCCAATATGCAAAGAATCAGAATACCTGCTTGGAAAGATGGGCTCAAAGGTCACCTGGATGCCAACAGGATCTCATGCTTCAGTTCTTACAAAGACAGAATGACAGCTGGTGTAGTCAGTCCAGCAGGAAAATCCTCTTCTGTCAAGGTGAGGTGCAGGCTGCTCCGTGCTAGCCTCAAGTGACTAGATCACATTCTGCTATATGAGCCAGAACAATGTGTTTTATTTAGTTTAGTAATTGACCCTTTCATTTAATTGAAAAGCACCATCATAGGAACACTCACAATAATGATAGGACATACATCTAGATACCATGTGGTCAACTCACCCTCTACAATTCACCAACGTGGCAGACACTGAGACGTGTGTCACGTTCACATTTCTCTTTCTGTTATGGATAGGGTCTCACTGTGGAGCCTAGTGTCTCCTCACACTGTGAGCCTCCGCCTCTGGCATGATGAGATCACAGCACTTAGCATTGTTGGGCTACACGTTTCTGTGCTTTTTTTCTTACTTTTCTTTTTGTTAAGGCCAGCACTGACATCTTCTTCCTTCTCAATCTCTAATAACTAGGATGAGCTGACTTGCATGCTCTCCTGCTCTCCCCTTTGTAAGTTTTAAATCCTGAAAGCACTCTGTAGGGCCACTGTGTCATGTGAGGCAGCACGATCCAAGGTGACAGGGAGGAGGCATCTGGCCGTTCTGAGGCTGCAGTCTTGTGAATCACAGCATCTAAATGGAGAGGAGACTCAAACATATGGTATTCACTGGGTTTTTCTTCTTATTTTAATGTAATGTAAATAGGTATGATTAAAGAAAATATAAAAACACTCTTTGTAATTCCATGAAGAAAATAAAACTAATTTTATAACAAAATACCTAGACTTAATATGTATCATGACCTTGAAATAAATGCAAAATGCAAAAATGTTACTCAGAGTACAAATTATAAATGCAGATGTACACAGACAAAAATGAATAAATGGACAAATCTTCTGCTACACTGACCAAAATTAACTAGTAGTATAAATAAGCCAATTCACCATGTATCTTAAAATATTTTCCAAACAACAAATAATATGGGGAATTATTTTAAATTCTCTTTATTTTTTCTATCTATTTTTAATTATGATATTTTTAATAATTCATAAAATGGACACCATGTGATATTTAAGTTTGTGTATCTGACATAGTTCACTTACCATGAAGTTCTCAAGTTGCATCCATGTGCCTACAAATGCCTCAACTTCATCTTTATTTATGGTAGACTAGGAGGCCACAGTGTATAAGTACCAGTTTTTATTATTCTGGTGATGGACATACAGACGGCTTCCAAGATCCAGCTAATAGAGATTGTGCTGCTACAAACATGAATGTGAGTGCATCTCTATAATGTGGTGACTTTAACACTCCTAGCAAGATAGGAGAATAGCGAGATATCTTACGTTGACCTACAAATGTATAGCTATACTCACAGTTTTTCAACCAGTTCATTCAGTGCTTGACTCATCAAAAAACTACACAGACATAATTTCCATATTCTCAGAAAATTATGACTCATGTCTTTGTAGATTCTTTACCTTTTAATGCTCAGACATTTTATATGTACTTCAGTTGGTAGTGTCTGTGTAGGTGTATGTAAGTTTTTGTGTACATTTGACATGTATCATACCCTCAGGGAAATTTGCTCATTACCATTAGTAAGCACTCAAAATGTCTTTATTCTTTCCTTGTTGGCCTGTTTAGTGTCCCAGATTTGAAGTAAGAGCTTTTAAAAACAAGGACTGAAAGTGCATCCCTGGAGGAATATAATGCTTACTATCTCATATACAAGTCATGGACTAAAGGGAAAGGAAAATAATAATCAAGGGGAAATGATTTTCAGTGATGAAGAGAAGCATGTAACTAGGGAGAAGATGAGGAAGAAGAAAAGAAAAGAAGACATATAGACAGTGATTATCATTACCTAACTTACCAGGGTATTTACCATTTCTTTTTATGTCCTGAACCAGTGACACTACATTTATTTCTAAATATAATTGACTTATCTATCTGGGCCTATTCATGATTCACCAAATGTCTAAATCTGGTATGCAAGAGAAAGTTTTCTTAGAATTATTAAGACTGTTCTAAATAGACATGTGTAAGGAAAAGGAAGGGATGTGAAGGAAGGGTCATGGCCATTTTAAGAGTGGAAAAGAGCTGAAAGTTGGTGCAAGATGCCAGATTCGGTGAAAAATTGCTATGACTCTTCCTTCACATCCCTTCCTTTTCCCTACATGTGTCTATTTAAAAGAGTCTTAATAACTCCATCTAAGAAAACTTTTGCCTGCATACCAGATTTAAACATTTCCTCTAGGTTATAGTTGTGTTCTTTTTACATCAGTATTATTTAAAGTGATATTTTGAATTTATTGCTATCTTATTTTTTTCCTATGGCTTCCCTTAAAATGTAAGATTCATTGGTAAATAATCTAGATTTACCATGAAATATATAGTGCCAAAAGGCAATTAGTAAACACTTAGTAAATTTCAGTATAATTGAAATTGAAGGAGAGTATGAATAAATGCAATATGGGCATAATTGAGAAATATCAGAAAAACTTACCACAGGGAACTATCACATATTAAATCATAATAAATAATACAACAGAACACATTTGGAGACAAGCAATGTTTTCATACAATTAAATATTAGGTTAAGCACTTATTTCAGTAAGTTATACTGTTTGTCTAATTTGTTCTGGAAAATGCAATGTATTTTTCAAAACAGCCATCACTGTATAAGAATTACATGCAGATATGAAACAGTTATTTAAACCACTTCTTGTTTCTCAACTTCTGCATGGCTGCTTTCACATCCTTGTTCCGTAGGCTGTATATCAGAGGATTCAGCATGGGAATCACCAGGGTATAAAACAGTGAGGTCATTTTGTCCTGATCTAGGGAGTAGGCAGAACTGGGGCGGAAGTACATGAAGAGCACAGTTCCCTGGAAGATGGCGACTGCAGTGAGGTGGGAGGCGCAGGTGGAGAAAGCTTTGAACCTTCCCTCCACAGAGCGGATCTTCATGACAGACAAGATAATATAGCAATAAGAAATGAGGACTCCTGAGATGGTACTCAGTTCAATGAATCCAAAGATGGTGAATAAAGTCAGCTCATTGACTTGTGTATCAGAACAAGAAAGGAGAAAAAGAGGAGGTAAATCACAGAAGAAGTGATTGATTTTATTAGATCCACAGAAACATAAGCGGAATGCCAGTGTAGTGTGTATCAGAGCATCTGTGAGTCCCACCAGATAAACCCCAGCCACGAGCAGGGAGCACAGCCTGCTGGACATGTGGGATGTGTACAGCAAGGGGTTGCTGATGGCCTGGTACCTGTCAAAGGCCATCACAGCCAGCAGCAGACACTCAGCATCTGCAAAGACACAGAAGATCAGAAACTGTAGAGCACAGCCCAAGAAAGGGATTGAGTTCTTCTCAGCCATGAAGTCCAAAAGCATCTTGGGTCCGATTGCTGTGGAATAGCAGAGGTCACAGAAAGAGAGGTGGCTGAGGAAGAAATACATGGGTGTGTGCAGGTGGGGATCCACTAACATTAGGGACATCATTCCAAGGTTTGCTAAGAGATCGATGAGATAAACAAGGAGAAATATGGTGAACAGAGCCACTCTGACATCTGTGTTATCAGTAATTCCCAAGAAAATGAATTCATTAAAGGCAGAGCAGTTGCTCCTCTCCATTCTTGTTGTTCTTCTCTAAATTTAAAAAATATAGGTACATTTTAATCTTCCTGTGTATTGCAAAATATCTGTAAAAAACATCTTTTGTTTCTTAGATTTTTATCCTAATGCAACACCCACTGGATGCCTTTCAGTATATTAATACCATCAATCCAATTTAGGGAGAGAAATCTACATATAAATCATAAAATTTTGCCTTCTTATATCTTTTCTCATTTTGCTGGCCCTTTTATTGGATTTATTTCAGCTAATATATAGTTGATGATCTGAAACCTCAGTGCATCTTTCAAATAATATGAATGTGGAAATACAGATTTTTCACTTCTTAGGGAAATTTTATGATCAGAAATACAATTTAGAATTTTCTATGTTCCTTGAAATAATCACACATATAAAAATAAATCACAATTTTTATCTTCTTCAATATTCATCATAGTTTCAAATACATTTATTGTTGTTCAAAAGAATCTTATTACCAACAAATAAAGATGAATATTATTATTCTACTATTCTGGTTGCCTATTATTTGAGAAAATATAAAAAGTATTTTATTGACTCTTTTCCTAAAAATATAGTTGGATATTTTCACTGTGCTCATTGTTTAATGTAGAGGTAATTGGAGCTAAAATACCATTGTTCTGATCACTCCAAAAGAAATATTAAAACACAAGTTGAAAAAACATATTTTAACACATTCCCTTGGATTTTGTCATATTTTTGAATCCATTTATTATATAGAAGAGTTGAATAGACTTCCTTTCAACAATACATTTACATATAAAAATTTGAAAACAAGATGAATAGTTGTAAGTTAGAAACATGTAGCTTCTCTTTCCTGAGTATATGAATGCTCTTGAACTTATGGTGTATTTTATGTGTGTTGATTCTTATTTGAAATATAAATAGTGAAATGTGAAGGATGTATACATATGGTATTTTGTTTGGTTATTTTAATTATATTACTCTATTATATGATATCCATGTACTTCAATTTTTGCATATTCTGATTTCTAATTCAGTGCTTTTTTGTAATGTCATCTGTAGATATGTAGTAATTAGGCAAGAACAATCTCTTAAAGTGATATGCATCTTTACACAATGATGAAATGAATGAAAACCTGACTGTGAACCCATACTAAAGAAAAATAAGCATAATGAGGTTTTGTGGATACTAATAAATTAAGTAACAATCTTTTTCTGAGAAGAAATTATCAATTTTGAAAATTAGATTTCAGATTGTGTTCTACTAAGCAATCTGTCATAAAAATCTGTAAGTTTTCTCCAATTAGTTACGCTTTTACATTTCTTTTCCTTTAGAATATTTTTAGGATTGAAAAACTTACCAGAGGTGTGTTGTGCTTTGGTAAATGAACAACACTAGGCCAATAGCATTTTATTATAATAAGAGGCTTTGGGGACTTAACTCTCTGAAGCTACATTTACTAATCTTCACTGTGGTACACACATGTAATTAATTGTATTTCTGTATCTGTATTTTCTCCTGTGACTAATTACAGGCCCAAGTGAAGCACAGGTTGAGTTTAAGTCATAAATATACTTACCAACTGACATGTGTCAGAATAAAACGACAAATTTTATACCACATAATATGCGCACTATATATCAGTTTTCTTCTCTAAACTATTACCTGTCTTATCTTTGTCTACCTGAAGCAGAATGCAGTTAAGCTGAAACTGCCCTTGAAAGAATCGTTACCAAACCATTCATTCTTCTTTTGTACTTCAAGTGCTCACACATTGTTTTCCCCAATATTACTAAACTACTACTTCCTTTCAACAATACATTTATGGAGACATAATACATGTACCACAAACTCCACTCTGAACCTTTATTTGGTGCTCATCACAGTCCAAAGGCTGCAAAGTGGCCACCATAGTCCACCTGTAGAGCATTTTTTATCAACGCAAAAGACGGCAAGGAGTAATCTCACCCTCTCCTTTCCCCCACTGTCTTCCGTAACTCTCAGCTACTTTCTGAATGTATGTGTTCGTATATTCTGGAGTTAACTACAAAAGGATTCCCCAAAATGTGCCTTTTCTGTTAATCTTTCATTTGCCATTGCTTTAAATATATATCCATATGATAGCATTTTTTTCAGAATTCCCTTCTGTTAGGTGGATAAATGGATATGATACATTTTCCTTATTTTTTATCAGTAAAAGAACTTGTAGATTGTTTCTACTTTGACTTCTGGGCATAATAATAACACTAGGATATTTATTTGCTCATAACCTTCTGACATTGCAGTCCTTGTTGCATATCCATCCCCAATCACTTGTCATCCTTCTAACTTTCACTAATGCTATGATTAGACCATGTCCTCCACATTCAGGAGAAATTAATGACAGATTATTTTTAACTATGTTTATTTACATAGGAAGTTCTCTACCACATATACATCTTTAGGAATAACTTTGGTGCTTATGCTTTTCTTATTTTGAGTTTGCAATAGTAATTCCTTCCTAGCATTCATTTTAACTGTTGAAGACCTATAATGATTGAGCATAATGAACCAAGAATACAAATCCATTACACTCATGGACTTTACTCTGTTAGCGTAAATCATATGTGTAAAAATGATTTATTTAAAAATTATGAGTGAAAAATGGTTTTTCTAACACACATAGAGTTCCAGGTCTGGTGCTGAAAATAATTTCATTTGCTTTTACTTGTAAATATTTTCAAAATTGAAAATTTGACTTTTATATTCTCCAAGCATTTTCCCAGACAGTGACGAGTTCTTTCTTAACTTAAATCTTGGTTCACTGCTGGTGACACCTGGTCTGCCAGAGTTACTTCCAAAAGACCAAAGCCAGCCTTGCTCTCATGATTGCCTGACTGAAATGTCTGTTGCCATTTCCATATTGTGTGATAAACATGTACTGCTTTATTTGATGACTGAGCTAGGTCTTTGCAGAGCAAAAAAATAAAGAATAGAAAAAGGAAACATCACACATACTGAAGTATTTCTAATGTTAAATTCTAAATGGTAAAAGTAATTGTAATAAGAAATTTCTGAAATCCAGAATGGGTAATAATTACCTGTGCTGACAGATGATGGCTGTACTTTTGGAAACCTCTTCTTTAGAGATCCAGTTTTATTTGTCCTCCCTTTGAAAATTTTATGGCCCTCACTGGTTTGACCAATACCGGACCTTTATTGGTTTGACCAATACCAGAACTGTTTCAGATCACTATCTGTTGCTCATTGTAATGCAGAAGTATTGTTTCCAAAAGCCACTAAGTTCTGATTGAAAAGTACTCCAAACTCTGGGTAACAATGTGTTCCACTTAGAGACTGTGAGTGACTCTCTTTCCAAGCTTTATCTAGATGTCCTAAACACATTCAAAATTTTTGAGCAATTTTAATCAAATAAAATCATTTTAATGTGGACTTATCCACCTAATTTGAATTTACTTTTACTTTTAATGATTTTATTTTTTTTTTATTATGGAGAAAAAGAAAAAACAGAAATAGGGTACAAGTTATACAGAATTTCAGAAAAAATAAACAATAGGAAATCACTAGTTAATAGATTACATAGTTATCTTAGAAATAGTTGTTCAAGTTACAAAATTAAAGCATATAAAGTGGACTTTCAAATAGTGAGACTGGAAACGGATTTGTTCAATGATCCAACAAAGCTCAGTAATATGGTTATCTATCATATACACTTAAATATATATGCAGTTATATTCTTTTTTATTTAAGGAGATAAAGGAAAAAACAGAAAAAGGATACAAGTAATACAAATTTTAAAAATAAACAGTAAGAAATCACTAGTTAATAGATTACATATTCTCATCTTAGAAATAGTTGTTGAAGTTACAAAATTGAAGCATATAAAGTGGACTTTCAAACAGTGAGAGTGCAAACAGTTTTGTTCAATGATCAAAAAACACTCAGTAATATGGTTATCTATCTTATACACCTAAACATACATGTAGTTATAACCTATAGAGCACTTTCTTTTCTTTTCTTTTGTACAATGACAATTACATATTTTGGGTTTTGTTACTCCCACAGTTCTTATTACTTTTTTTGAAGAGAGTAAAACAAAATGTGACATATCAGAACAGAGTCAGTCAAATCAAAAGGATGGACATAATAGATAATGTAAAAAAATATATAAGGTTATCAACAATGGTTACCATACTGCCTCTTGCTATTTTAAGAAGAATTGGCAGTTATAATAAAATTGAACTAAACAGTAAAGAATAAAACCAAGCATTGGATATATTACAGGATTTTAAAAGAAAATAATAGTCAACCAGAATGGGCGTCATAATGATTCTTATTGTCTTCACAGTTATGCCTATACTTTCAAACTTGGTACTATCAACAAAAGCAGAATAGAGGAAAATCAGTCAAAATAAGATGGTGAGGGCAATACAGGATTTCAAATCAAGTTAATAGGAAATCAAAGTAGGTTACTATAATGTATCCTGTTATTTTTTATTTATTTTTCCCTTAATTAAAAAAATAAAAAGAAAAAAGTAAATAATTTTAAAAAGGCGGATTGAGATAAAAGAGGGCATAGCAACAGAACAGTGCAGGTCAAATCATAACCATTTAAGCAAAATAGTGTATCACCACAAGATATCGTGACATAAAAATAGTTACCATCGTGTCTCTTTCCTTGAAATCTTTGAGTATAACTTCTTATACTCAAACATATCACCAAACATATCAAGACACTATAAAACCATTCAAGAGAATGACATTACAGGGTATTTAGAACCAATTGACAGAAAATGAACAATGGTTTCTATATAAACTCCTTGTCTATAAGAGTTTTTGCTTTTATTAATCATATATAATAAAATCCAATAAGATACAGCCTTTTAAGACTGATGGAGACAGAAGAATACACATTTGATGGGACTTCAAAACAAGATGATACTAAATCAGCACTAGCTATTATGATGTCTTGTTTTCTCCAAAATTGCTGTTCTAACCTTCCGATCTTGTCAGCCTC